ATTATTGGAGTATTTTTTTTTTACGTTTTGTTCTTAATCCTTGCTAGCCGTTCATCCACTGCATGCAGCTTAAAAGTTGCATTGTACAACGCTTAAAATACAACCACGGCACCAAATTTATCTGAAAACATATTTAAGCAGTGTTTTTTTAGTTGAGATGAGGCTTATCATCCTTATGCCTAGAGGAAACACATAATTTGCCACATCGACCTCGACAAAAACGTTCGTATTAAAAAAAATATATATATTTCTCAGGAATCTAGCACCCAAAAAAGCGATCGAAAGTCGCTTGTAGTAAGAGTTTCTATTTTTTCACTAATAAGGATTATTGTGCATTTAATATGCTTCGATGAACTGCAATAACTCACTCAGCGTCCCGAAGTAACAGCGTTATTAAAAAAAAAAGTCTTGTTTTTTTAGTTGAATCCAAAGTTATGTTGTCATTACTATGTTAAAAAATTTTTATACAAGGAGCGATGTAACCGAAGCACGAAGTTTGCCTATGAGGAGTCGTATTAGGTCTCTGATGAAAACAAGAAGGTACGTATTTGTCATGTTGACTCACCAATGACGTGTGCAGCAGGTGACCAAGCACAGCAGACTTATAAGTGATATCATTGGTATACTCCGGAAATGCTGGTTTAGCGGAAATTTCGGCGTAAAAATATTTTTTTTATTTTAGCAAAAAAAAAAGAAAAGTTATTTCAGTTTTTGTTGGAAAATGTAATGCTACGTCAGAAACAAGCTAGCAGTGGCGGAACTGCCTATAGAAACTGTTTTCATGCCCAGTACCCCACCTCTCTACCAAATGTTCACCCCCCACCGTTCGAAATGTCACGTATTTGGAGATGGCTGTTACGAGGTTTACTTCACAGCAGTTGGTTTCAAATATTACGCACTTTTTGAAGCGCAGCCTTTAGCTGGCGCTTCATCGCACGTAGCCGATTTTGTTTTTGTATTAATTTATTTTTAAGATCGTTATTAATCAAAGGCTGATCTTCAATGTTTTTTTTTGGATAAGCTCTTGATATTATTTGTTGTTGGTGTAAAAGAAGTGGCGAGAAAATGCTTATTCAGCGTTGAGATTAGGGAAGGCGGTTACATAGCGCCCTTTAAGAAGGAGGGGATTAGCATGTTAAGATATTTCAAAGTAATCATTAGCGGGTGATTCTTAAAATACTGACCATCTGGCGCAAGCCGCGGCCCTGCATAAAGGGTTCGACAGTATTCATGCATACATCCTTCAAAAAGAAAAGCGCAGTTTTGAAACCGATATAGCCTCTCGATGGCTATCAAACGACTGGCGGCTTGGTGGGAAATGAGGGGCTCGCCTCTACGTGAGAGATCCGCAACCAAGTCTGCTAGCGGATGACAGCTCATGATCATAAAACTTTGAGCGAAATAATAAAACGACACCTTGAGATATCGCGTGTCACAAGAATTGTGTCATAAACGCCGCGCCAATAAGGTTAATGATTGCGCTACAAGCGTAACATTAAAAAAAAAAAACGTTTTGCAGTGTAAGAGGATCCACTGAGGAACCGTGTATGCACCAACAGAAACGAAAACGAAGGGGGGGGGGGGGGGTACGACGGCTACACAGGGAGATGTTTTAATGACAGGGTCAGAAACCATGCCTTGGTGGCCAGGCAGTCCTCTTCGGCAACCTTGCATTTCACTCAGATCACCAGGAATACGAGCTGCGATCCAAACGTCCCGACTCGATTGCCTTTGTAGCCTAAAAAGAGAGGGCAGCACGGTGACATTTGCGAAGCAGTCGAATGCAGAGGCATTCCTGTGTCATTATGCATTTTGCACAATGTAACCAAAATTGCGCACCATTTTGCTTTCATCTGTACAATACCATTACATCGTTTCTAGATGGGTTGTCGCAGGCCTTCACGGTGTGGGCGATTTAAGTGCGTCGTTCTGTAAACATTTGGAGCTGCGCGCTACGCAATTTTTTGCGATCGCGTACACGAGCACAATGACGATTTCACCATAGGCAGCAAACAAGGGCGAGAGTGAACATCAGTTCTGCATCAAAATTGACAAGTAATAACCAGAAACCGTTGAAATAATTCAACAGGCTTATGTCAAAGAGCTGCACATTTTTCAAAGTGTTTCGAGTGACTCTCATGCTTCAAGAATGGCAGAACATCAATTGAAGGCAACGAGGGTTCGGAGGAGCTCGCCCTACCTCTCTTCGTTTTCCAGCAATGTTCTGCCATTCTTGAAGCTCTAGTGCCACTCAAGACACTTCGCACAATAAACTTCGTAAAGGCATAAGCCTAATGAATCATTTTAAATATATCTGCTTTAGATTTGCCGAGTCTGACGCATAATTAATGTTAGCTCTCGGCAGAGCTGGCCAAATTACTCATTTATTGTAATCAAAATACATTACTGATTGCCTTTCTACAAATGACTGAAATGTAATTAAATTACATTAAAGTTACCACTAAACAAAAGTAATTAATTACAATTACAAATTATTGCATCAAAGTGATGAAATTACTTTCAAATTACTGTTTCATACATTTTAATGGAGGAGCTAAACAAAAAGAAAGAAACGCATTCTGCTCTGCGTTTGCCAAGTAATAACCGTTAAACCCACACGAAGCCAGTGGGCGAAACCAGGCAGAAAAGGCGCACCAACATGCCCTTCCACACCAAACTGACTGACCTTGGGTCTGTCTGTGTTGTGGGTTCACGTTTTTACGAAATACCTCCTGCGCACGGTGTCGATCCCCGAACTTGGCCTGATACCATTTCGATATCCGTTTGTCGGGGATATGCTTGGCACAAACATGATCACTAGGTAGTAACTTGCGATCGGCCCTCTGGATTGCACGACCCCACTGCTCCTGGCGAGCGTCATTCGATGGAGCTTTAAACAAGGACACTCGCTCTGCACAGTTCCGGTACCCCGAATTGCAGTTGGGAACGAAGCACGTCTTTCCCAGCCATCTAGCATAACTTCGTCTTCTTCGGGTTAGGGCTCACCGTCGTGCACGATGGTGGGACCTGTGATCGACAGAGCACCAAAGCAAAACACAAGGCCAGCCACTGGCCGCACACCACCATTACACCGCGAAAAAGGCGAGAACGCTACACCGCCGACGCCGTTGCCACCAAGGAGGGGCCTCGTACGTTATCAGCCCGCCCTATGGACAGGCGCGGCAGAACCGGTGGAACGTCAGATGTACATTACCTGCCGTGGGAAGTGATTTTATCGTGGTCTTTTCGGTAAACATAGGGTTTGCACGATACTTGCCGCATTAAAGAGCATCGTTCAAAATGTTGTCCTCCTTTGCCTGGAGACTTTGACGCTGGTGGCGATAGGAACGCTATCCGCCTTTGCCGGCTCGCGTGCTGGCAAGAGAGAAGAACCGTTTTCGAACGCCGCTGTTCGGTGCCGCTTGTCAATTGATAGATCGAATGATGTTGAATCAAGTATCCTCGAAAGCGCATCTTCACGGCGTGCTTCGTTTATTTCTGTGGGTGCTTTCACAAGATAGCCCTACTGAGAACAGAGAACATGGCATGATCTGGCACTTTTAGTCCACGCGTCTGCGTTTGCATGTCTTCTAGCCCGTGCCTTTAGTTATGGTCCTCTAGACCGTGTTTTTAGTTACGGTGAAACGAAGTATTGAACCCGTCTCAAAGTCTGTCCTCTTTTGGAAACTGTGACCTCCGTGCACAACGGCTGACAGGCAAACTCATAACACAAACTAAAAGACAACCGTCATGGCTTACCTTCTGTACTTTGCTAGATTAAATGACCATAGGAAACCTACAGGAAAAGTTATGAACAAAGTGACGTTGCCCTTTCGGTACTGTTTGATTGATCCGTTGACTCCCAGCGTCGGCTACGTTCCGACGTACGTAATGACTTGCACTTTCCGCGACGTCGGTTTTTCGGTCGTTGTGCAATGATTCCGATCTTTCAGCAATTGACTCATGACTTTCAAAGTAGTCTATGAAATCAAATCACGCTGCACCCCACTTCCGCAGCCAGTAGAAAAACGCTCGTAATTCCAATCCATGTCACTTGGAGGCGCGCAGCAAATTTGAAACCGCGACGACACTAGGGAAACAAAGTTGCGGGAACGTTGGGCAACGGTGTTTCAGTTGCTTCGCGAACGTTGGGGCATAGAGGTTTAGGTGTTCCGCCCAACTGGCTCCTTGGGGAGTACGCTCTTCAAATTTGACCCGTGCGTGACGAGACGCGGACGCCACAGAGCAATGGCCGGCCCAGGCCCTTCAGGATCGGATCCACCTAGAAGGGAACAACCGATCTCAGCCAGGTAAGTCCTTTTGGTATATTTCACCGTCGTGCAATGTTCAGCGGTCTTGCTCAACCTCTCGCATTGCCTTTTTATCTTAATTATACGAAATGCCACACTTTTTTGAGAAGCTGCCTACAGAACGACATAAACTGTTACTCATAACTAAAGGGCAGTATTTTGTTAAGCTAACCCAGCGGTTCAGGACTTAGAACTCGGTTCATATGAATGATAAATGTGAACACGATAGTTATACCGTTTAATGTTTGCACAATTCGATGCACCACTCGCTAGACGGGAGAGTTTATTTTTTACCTATTTTTGGGCACTTTGAATTTCTGCTTGCAGAGACGTTTTGTAGGGTCGATGTTAGCTCGGATTTCTACGGTGGTTTTGCGGCCGAACGTTTAGGGCGGTACTTTTCTTAGTACATTATTTTGCGCAATTGTAACCCAAGGAGGCTCTGGTTCAGCGGGAGACCGCGGTTTCGACCTATTCAAGGTGATTTCCGCAAAACCAGGCAACTTAGTCACCTTGGGTGACTAAGTTGGCACGTAGCCCTCCCTGGCTACGTGCCAGATCTTGAATATACCTATATTCTATATGCTGTATAAATGTGTGAAACAGAGGATTTGGCAATCTCTAGCGCTATAATAACTGTGTTCGGCGCAAGAACCACAAAAACCGAGTGAAGTGTTTCCTGCGTCTTACTCTTGAACAAGTTGTGCTTGAACCACTCCCAAACGTCCATGCTATTGAGGGCCAATGCCCACACAACTCGCAATCGACTGCAGTACATTGTATTATGATGTGCGTTATATAACATTTCTTTCCACCTTAACACTTGATACTTATTCTTTGGTTCTGGTGAATGTCTTACTTGAATGGTTGTGAGTGAATAAAACACGACTGCTAGAGCAACATTGAACTTGCGTTAGGTTAGTTTTTTTTTTTACTCTAATACTGGAGCAATGCGTTTCACTTTTAGTTTTTTAAACCGAGATTAGATCATTAACGTTTAATCGGCTTGCATATTTTTCAAGCAACCTGAAAAAAACAAAAATTCAAAGACGACCTTGTACCAGTTTTCTTACATATTTACCGCGGGTGGGCGTTAATTCGGGATGTAACGGTATTAAATGTTTGTAATCCGAATGTTACGGTGAAAATGTTAGAAGTTGTAAATATAATTTTTTTTTTCTGTCATTCTCGCTTGTGCAGCAGAGAAGAGCAGTCCTTTGTTGTGGACGGGATCATCCATTCCCCGAAATACCGGCCCACTCCCCCGAAAGTTACTAGCCTGTCTGTTCCGAATTTGATTCGACAACAACTTCGAAAGTTTTCTACGAAACAAGTCTCGGTGAGTTTGCCGTTAAATACATCTACTTCATTGACCTTGCATAAGAGAAAACTCGTGGAGATAAAAAATATTTCCTCAAGTCGATCATACAACTGGCGAGCAGATTTTATGAACGCTGAATTGTGGTCCCGAAGTGGCGCTGCTTGCACCAAAGTGTGTGAACACGTTTTAAAGGAAGAGCTCAAAACCTAAGGTCCCTCACGTCGCTTTCAATGTCCTCAACGGTGGCAATAAAAGTATTGCTGGAGCTTACACAAAGCGCTTTACAATCAGGATGAAGTGCAAGGTAAAAGTAAACTGCAGGATCCAGCAGTCATGTTCTTGCTTTTTTTATATACTTTTACCCTGCTAATTAACGTTCTATAAATAGCGCATCCTGTTCCACATTTATGAGAGCCTTTCTGTTGTAAAAAAAAGTATGTAGTCGCATGTTTTCAACTAAGGAAATGTCATTGACCTCGTTGAAGCTTAATGTGAAGCTCGTAAGCGTGTATTATTAATTTAGCACTGGTCCATCAAATGCATAACGGCTAAGGCAAGAAGCTGTTGAAGGTAAAAAGAAGAGGTACTTCGAATTACAAAGTGGGTGCACTTACGCTACGAGATTTTAGACTCCATAATAATTTACAAGACGCTAGAAGTTGTGCACAGAATCTGTTTTGACAGTGGAAGTCGAGTGTCAAAACATCAATCGCACCCTTGCGACGTTCGAGCACGGGCGCCCTATCAAATTTGTTGCATCCATATGGGTTCTTGAAAGCTTAAGAGAGGACTGGTGTAAAAACGATGTGAATTCTCACATCTTATGTTCATAAAGTCTCAAACAATACCGTTATTAGTAGTTGAGGAGACTGAGACGGCGGCATAGATAGTCAAGAGCAACATTTTTTGTCTGGCAGGTCCTCCGTCACGTTTTGAAATAACTGTGTTACATAAATGCGCGATTCTTTGAATTCAATTTTATAATAGGATAGGCTGGCTTTTGAAATTGCGTGTCGGAAAATCAAACGGGATTTATATTGTAGATTTACTAAATAAACATGCGATTCGAAAAGCCTCCGCAAGACAACAGAGTGGCAGTTAACGTTTCCCTAACATATATTAGTAAACAGGTGAGCTGGTTGATTCCACATAGTATAAACCGGAAACGAACGGACAACAAAACAATGACAAACACACACGTCTTAAACGTGGCTGAATAAATTTGATTGACAAACCATGTTTTATAGGCCACTTTCTCACATAACTTTCAATGATTCTGCACACGTTCATGTGGCCACGCCACGCCCTTCATACAGAGTCAAATGGTACTATACGTAGGACACTCTTAACAAACACAAGGTCAAGCTAACTTAGCCGACAAAAGCACCCAACCTCGAGATCTTATACAATAGTTCCCTCTTCGTTTCCCATTCCTTTAAAGAAGTAAACACTTCAGGTCGCTCATTTGGTATAAAATGGGGTGATTTGGTTGGCCAGGTTGACTTGACATTGACACTGCTTTTGTTAGTGTCCTGGGTATTCTACTATAGCGTCTGTATGGAGAGCTTAGTGGGGCAAAATAAACGTGTGCAAACTCGTTGAACGTTATCTGAGAGAGCGGTATATAAAACAAGATCTGTCAATAAAATTTATTCAGTTTCATTTTAAACGTGTATGTTTGTCCCTCTCATGTCGCTCGTTCGTCTCCGGTTTAAATTGTGTCCCTAACAGGCGATACAAAGCTTCTTTGAAAAACGTTGACCGCCACTCTGGGGCCTCCAGGAGACTTTTTCTAACAAGCATGGAGGGCATCCTATAAGTTCAGCTATTCGTTTGGCAGTACCTAAGTACTTAACTTGTGCTCAAGTTGTATGCATTTTAGTTTTTCTTCCGTCCAGATGGCTGGCGACAAATATCTGAAGGGAGAAGACGTCCTCGAAATGATGGAAAAGTTTGCGAATCGATTTCAAAACTCAGCAGTTCAACCAGGAGATCCAGTCTTCACGATGCTTCACAACTCGTTGGTGAACGTAGCCGCCGCACTGAGCCTGAGCTTCGTCGGGGGAGTACTGTTCCTTGCGGACCATGAACTCTGTAATGGTGAGTCCTTGGCCCGCAAACACAGAAGATCAAGCATGAAACTAAGATTTGACCCAAAGTTTTGACACTAAACACCGTTTTTTTTTTCTTGACTACGTCAGAAGAATTGCTTCGAAGATTTATTGAGAGTGACGCAAGCTACATCCTTACCGACAGGGTGAACGAATTAAAGCTGAAGTGCTTGCTCTGTACTATTCCCGAAGAATTCCTCAAGGAAACGGTAAGTGCACCCCAATATTTGGGCTTAATATCGAGTCAACTCGAAGAAAAACAATAGGAGGAAAAAGAGCTGTCCACACGATGAGTTTCTTTCTTTCTTTTTTTTTTAATGACTCTATACAAAGTTTTATTTAGTCTGACCACAGCCGATGCCAGGATGGAAGTCAATCAAGCAAAATCAAAAGCTAATCGTCACGGCGTTCATTGACTTGTGCATTTGTTACCCCCAGATAAACCAATCACTGACTTTGATGTGACTAGTTTTTGTGCGTTATTGTTTTCGCAGGTGATAAGCAAACACACGATGACGACAAACGCCATGATGTAACTCTTTTGGGGCTGCTTGATTGGCTCTATCGGAGTTCAGCGTCGGCTACGGCCGGACTCACGGAGCGGAATATAGCAGTTGTTTCTTCATGAAGTTTCCTTGCTCCTTTCTCTTTTGGGCTTCCACTTTTCTCAATACTGGTCGACGAAAGTTACCGGTCCGTTCATACAGTGTACAGCCCGTAATTCGATGTATTGCTAAAGGAGAAGGCTGGCACACATTTTGATTAAATTGGTGTGTGTGTGTCTGTGTTTATACAGCCTGAACTTAGTCTGCCTCAACGGGCGACTTGTCTCTTAGCTGTGGATGAGCAATTTAGCCAGTGGGGTACAACCGCTAGCATGAGATCTTTAACGTGCACCACGCAGTAGTGATACACACCGCACGCCGGTACGATGCTCATTCGGATCGAAACTGGCGGTGGTGGGACGTGAACCTTGGGTTCCGCAGCACCGAGCTTTCGCTCCACCTGCTCCGAGCCGGTGTGCGCTAGCCCACATGGCCGGCCGTACCCCCCCCCCCCCCCCCCCCTCTTTTTGAACGTTACTTAAAAAACCACAGATCGCGAAAATTCTAGGAGAATCGTAAGACACGCTTTCTTACGAAAAAACCCACGCGGGTTAATGTTGGAGCTTTCTTTGGGTTAGGAGTTGATTCGGGACCAAAGAGTATATTCTAAGATTGACCTTCTTCCTGATTTCGTTACTTTCTATTTTGTTTTAGGAGTTTATTCTCCTGGTTGTAGGAAAAGAAAATGAGGCCCTAGATATCTCAAAAATGAAAAAGAAGGACGCGCATTACGTAAGGCATGTGCCAGGAAGTGAAGATGTTATGGCGGTGCTCTATACTTCTGGATCCACCAGGAGCCCCAGGGGCGTGCCGATAACGCACAGGGCATATGTGGGTTCTTTTGAGTCATATAGGTACGTATGGGGATGGTCCTTCCTTTTTTTATTATCAAATTTCAGGTAGTTCTCTAGATTCGTCAAACACAAAGTTGGGGCCGAAGTTTACGAAGCGCGACAATTGGACTTCTGCTGCGATTTCTCCGCGCTTTTGTACCCGAAGGACAATCAGCCCGGTCCGGGAGCTTTCGGCTTCAATTTTGTGTTTCACGAGACCGGAGCCCCAGGAAGACCTAACTAATCTTGCTCAGTTGCTTTTTATGATGCTTCGCGCTGCCACGAGAACGATTATTTGTAAGTAAAACAAAATTTTGTCGAATCGTGGCAAGCAAACGATCAGCCTCCTTTAGAAAGTTTTATGCGAACATGACACATTTTATAAAATAGTCCCGGATGTCGCTACACTGAAAATTCAAATCGAGGTAAAGCAAAACTGGTACGCGCCTATCATTTTAATTGCGATCCCGTGGAAGGCTTAGTATATCGCGTTCGGAGCTTAGAAACTCCTGATGGTAAATCCAGTCAAAAATATGCCTTAAGGATAGTTGCACGAATCGAGATTCCTGCGGTCTATTGTCATCCCATTGAAATTGATTTCTTTTTTTTAGCTTGCCTTCATTATTTTGATAAACATGAAGAACGCAGAATATGTCCTGCGTGTATTATGCCTGCGTTACGATTTGCTATGCTTTGATACGAGAAGCTTTGGGCGGTTTCGGATGTGCTACACACATGACAGAACCTTGTGATGTTCGGATTCATCAGAATGATCAAGACAAGCTTTAATTTCTTAAGGAGTGGAGTGTCATAAGCATGCTTTAATGACAGGTTTCGCATGGGTTCTTCTTTGGTGGCCGCGTGCAGGGCGTTTAATTCTAGCACTCTTGAATTTTTAGAACTCCTTA